TCCTGGAGTTTTTGCTGCGCTCTGCACAAACAGGAGTGTTTGTGATTATCACTCTGCACGACAAAATCAGCCCTTGGTCTGTAAGCAGAATAACCTTGAGGCAATTTGTGGCCTTTCTTGTTGTTCACTGCTAGCCAGAGATGACAGCATTGGTGAATGAGTGCTGGCTACACAACTCTTAGGGCCTTTCACCACTGCTGAGTTGAGGTGCTTCCCCCCTGTCCTTAAGGTAGCTGAAAATTATATGGTATGAAAGTTTGTCCCCATTGCTGATCCCTATCCTGCCTCCGTTGCCTCTGTTCACAGTCATTGCCAACCACCTGGCTTCCCTCTAAGATAGTCATCCTAAAATATCTTATATTAGAGCAATAAATCAGATTAAAGTGTAATTTTGGATTAATACAGTATGTAATTAAAAACAGAAGGACATTGTATCCCAGCTATATATTAACCAGGTTTATTTTTTCTTAACTTGAGCTCAACCAAGGTCAAGTAGCTGGAGAGGCACAAATTCAAGTTCACCCTCATAACAAAAGCTGACTTGGGCTAGTTACCCTCAGTCTGACTTACCTCACAGGGTTGTTGTGAAGAAAAATCGGAGGGAGTGCTTTGTATGCTATCTTGAACTCCTGAGTAAAGGCAAGATACAAATCTATCAATCAGTTAGTGGTGGCAGCAGCTAACCAATTTTGGCTAATATTGGCTGGTAAGCAGGATCAGATGCTTGGATGGGAGGCTGTCGACTAGATGGAGAGGTTGAAGGAATATTCCAGAAGGCAATGGCAAATCACTTACGTGTTGTTACAGAGAAGAAGAAGAAGAAAAGGAATGTGCCTCTCTGGAGTAAAGTTTGATTCAAGGGAGATATTGTTTAAGGTGGAATCATGTGTATTTCTCTTGGGAAAGGCTCAAGAGAGGGAGGGATACAAGGCTTCCACCAAAAGGCCTTATGCCCACTAACCTATTAAGCTTCATGGTGACTCAAGCTGTGTGCCACGAAGAGGGCTTTATAGGTGGGAACCAGCACCTTAAATTGCACCTGGAAGCCTCCTGGGAGGCTATTACATACATGCTGTATGTTTTTCTGCAAGACATAATTCTGTGGACTAATGATTGGTTTCCTTCCCAAAAACCAGGATAATCTGACCTCTTGTTTGGTGGTTTATTGCTTAATAGGGATGTGCAAAACTTTCTCTGCATGGAACAGCTAGTTTTCACTGGCTCATGACAACCAAAGCAAACATGTTTGGTGAGAACATAGATCAAAACATGCATGTTCTGGGCAGAGGTTTTTCAGGGGAGAGTGAAAAAAGTCAGGATGCTGGGCTTGCAGAACAGCTAAGGGGAAGAAGGGAAAGGAAGGCATTGGGACAATCAGGCAAGCAACCTGATGGAAATGCCACACTTGATGCCAAGGACATCAGTGGTGGTGATGGTTAAGGGGAGGTAGGGAAATGAAGGCACTGAGAAACTTGAGCAGGCAGGCCAGTTGAAAATGCCACGTTTGAAACCAAGACCTTCAGTGGTGGCAGAAGCCAAATGAAAATAGGGAAATGAAGATACTGAGAAGATTGCAGAGGCCACATAGAAGAGGAGAGTGAGAGGCACACCAGCCTTGTCCTACTTAACCCTTAAGACCTCTTGATTTCATTCTAGTTCTGCCAAATCTCAGCCCACCAGAGTGGTTTGAAACAAAGTGCATTTATCGTTTCTGTGTTAAACTTCAGTTCCCAGCATCCCTCACAACTAGCAAGGCTGGCTAAAGTTGATGGAAGTTAAAATCCAGTTGCATCTGAGGAAGTTCCACATTGCTTGTCACTGGAATATTTTTGAAAAGGGGTTAAGTAAGTTTCCTCATACAGTATTCGTCAGTAAGAAAGAACATCCTTTTCTGGATTGGATCTACCCAGAGGCAGGACTATTCTGGCTTCCTTCTGACAGGAAGAACTCTGTCCAGATTTTGTTCTTTTACTCAGTAGCTATGCAACAGTACTCTTTTCATTGCTTCATAGAAGACCAATTTAAGCAACCTTCTTAAATCTAATCCTTCCATTAATTCAGCTTGTGTAACTAGAATCTGAAGGAAAAGCCTCAGCATTATCTATTTGAACCAGCATCAGCATTTTTAAAAACTTATTATTAAATTAATTATATATTGTGAAAACAACCAAGGTGGCCTACATCAATTTATAAAAGTAGCAAAAATAAAACAATAGTAAAAACAATACACTTAAGATCACAAATTAAATCAACATAACACCATCACAATAATTAAGAGGCAAAAGCCTGGCAATAGAAATGTTTCTCTTATTCTCAGTATTGGGAAAGGGGGGGGGGCAAAAATACTTTTTTGACAAATGAACTGCTTGGCCTGGAAGCTCCACAGGACAAGACACGCTCCCATTTCTGGCTTGAGGGCCATCTTCAGAAGGGCTTCACCTGTTGATCTGAGTAAATAGGTTCCTAGCAGAAGAGGTAGTCCTGCAGATAATCAGTCTCTAAATTCTCTAGTGCTTTAAAAGTCACCTATAGCCATTTCAATTATTGGGAGCCCATGCAGATCTTTCAGTGCAGCCATCATGAGATCATTGTACTTTGCACCAGTTAATAGCCTAGCTATGACATTTTGCACTGACTGCAACTTCCAGCCTCACATAAAGCACATTGCATTAGTCAAGAAGGGTTGTAACCAACTGTAGATAATTATTGCCAAGTTTGACAGGCTTAGGAAAGGTCATGGGTTATGCAAACACACTCCTTGCCACAGTCACCACCTGCAAATCTACTGACAGCTGAACATCAGGAAACACTTTCAAATTGTGAACCTGTTCTTTCTGGGCAGAGTCCAGCTCTCCTTCCCAACATCACCTCTGCCTTGTCTGGATTTAATTTCAGCTTGTTCTTCTTCATCCATTCCTTGATTGAAATTAGGTAGCATTTAAGGGTATTGATTGCTTTCTTGTCTGTGTAAGCCCAGGATGGTGGAGTCCATGTATCTACAAAAGAAAAATCAATTATTCTTAAAAGTTATCATGTAAATTCTTGAATGTGGGTTGGTATTCTTAGCCTAGATACACAAGGGCACATTACTTTCATTAAAAATATAATAAAATTAGTGGTGATATAATTTTTATTTATTGGTGACATTCATATATTAAGAAAAGTTGTCTGGGGGTTTGTTTGTTTGTTTTGTTTTGGTGCCTTCAAGTCAGTTTTT